CTATGAGTACTTCAATTTCAATGACCAGCAGTCATAGGTGGCGAAAGCGAGAGATGATGAAAATACTTAGGTTAACCAGAAAACTAGCAGGGAGATCAACGTTACTGAAACCATCACTGGTAAGGGTGGGTTCCAGATGGTGGCCAGAAAGTTGAGCGAGACTCTGAAGTGGTGTAATTATTGCCTACACACGAGCGACAAACTCCCATCCACCGCCTCTAGCAGCAACTGAGAGAAATACAGTGTACCTGTGCCCACTGCTGAGCTGAGGTCGGTGGATGCCACAGCAAACATATCTATTTCTGTCTAAAGCTCGTGCTGACCAGAAATACATGGTTATCTGGGCACAGTTGTAACATCTAGATTCCAGTAGAAGGCTAGAGTTTTCGATAAACTTCATTTCTTACTTCAACTGAACTGAAGTAAGCGAATGCACGAGCAGAGACTGCAAAAAGAGAACAGTGAGTTCAACTGTACTTTTCAGTTTTTACCACTCAGAACGGCGCGTAGACGATTGCCAACTAGGATCCGGTAGAGCACTGCACTTTCTGCATTAGGACTCAGTGGTATACTTACACCTACAAAAGAGCGAAAATCATAAATTGAACCTCCAGAAGCTAGAAGAGTGAATTTTGAAGATACACCTTGTTGACCAGATGAGTTTAACTAAGTGATTTCACGTGAGAGCTAAATGTGTTTCTGAAAAACAACAGCTGTGCCCCCCTAAATGCTGCAGGTGATTAGGCTAGCGAAGCTTGTTGTTCGAGCCGACGGACGATACAGACATTAAGAGCTCTAATATGTAGTTTTAAGCGAGGTTTCATATGACAGGAAATGCTGCTTCGTTAACTCGGATGGTCATCAAGGGATGCAGGCCCAGAAACAAGATGAAGTAGGACTTGGTCGAGAAACGTAGGGAACTGATAGAAGGTAAAACCGTTGACGGTTGGTGATGATCTGAGGGAAATGACGAAGTCGAGAGCTGTTGACCACACCATAGGGGTTCCAATCTCTTGAGATACCTGAAAAAATGAGCCAGCAGAAGTGGTGACTGCGAGACCCACATTTACACCCCAGCCAACTAGTAGTACTTCACCCTCGGACCTCCTTCACAGCGCTATCCCACACAGCTATCCGATATTTCAAAACGTCGAGTGTTCTCACCAACAGTCCCTCGGTCGTACTGATACGTAACCTTGACCACCACGTCAGGACAGTACCTGTCGCTGAAATTCGTCAACTACTATATTTATTTGGGGAGTAACGGTAGTTCAGATGGGTTGGTTGTCGATGAAATCTCTGCCTGCATACAAAAGCCACGTTTGCTACTTGTCAGCTTACACCATCTTTGGTCCCAGTGAGATATCCAACCACTTTCTGCAGGATGTGTATACTGAGCTGCAGTCTCATGGTCCAATTATGCGGCTTAAGTACGGTTGTTGAAAGTAGATATCAAATTACAGGTTTATGACCCGATGTTTCAGTAGCTTTAATCGCGTACAGTGGGATCAACGTGAGCAATGCCTAGATTAAGTGGAGAGTACTACGTAAAGAAGACAAGCCATTCGATGTGGTTATGAACCTTGACCAACCGAAGACGCTAGGACGTGTGTTGCATATACCAAAGCACCCTCTACATCGATGTGCTTAGTCGAAGTAGTATTGGGTTTGAATCAGGCTAAGGATGGCCAGATCAAGACACGGGTACCAGTTCAGTCTCTACCAGTTGGCTTGAGCCATGTACGGGAGATGTAGACTGTCCAGCTGGTGCACTCAAGGTCAAAGAAATCAATTAATGTAGACTAGGTGGATAATTTCTCACAAGAGCTCAGATGCACTTACTCTCTGACATCGAAAGTTTGGATATTTTCTCCTCTCCTGTAGGCTTTCCTCAACTTTAATAGCACCTTTTGCTATGGCTTGAAGTGAAAACCTTTGCCAGGTTCAACTTCGATTTACTTGAGTATCAGTTTGAAAGGTAAGTCTGCGCACAAGATAATAACATTCCTAGAAGTTATATTTCGCACAACTTCAGGATATTATTTCACTCGTTTTCAATTAAGAAACTGGTCAACGATGTGAACCAGAGCAGCGACAATACTTTAAAAATGCAGTTGGCAAACCATTTTTAGAAACTTTTTGTAAACGCGACGATCATTGTTTTACTCACCATTACTTCAGTTGGAAATAATTGGTGGAACTGAACATTCTAATGAAAACAAAAACGCCCGTAGAACCTCGCAGTTTAAGCTAGTACACTTCGCAATAACATCCAAACAGCAAGTGGATAGAAAACGATAAATATTATAACAGACTAGCGTACGGGAGAAAGAACTAAAAGTGAAGGTCAGCGTTAGTGTTTAACCTACCGAAGATGTCAAAGATTGAATGCATACGCACTTTTGTAACTGATTTTAAGCCATGTGAATACGCACGTTGACCATTCAAGGCAACCGTTTCATGCAATTGTTGCAACATGATACTGCCACTAATTTTGAGAAATGCATAGCAGATTGCTTACCCGTGACAGACAAGTAAGGTCATCCTTCATTAATAAAATAGGTCGGAAGACAAAACTAAGAAACAGTTGTGAAGTGACTATTTCTCCAGCGAACAAAGAAAACAGCTGGCATACCTGTTTTTCTACATAACCCGATACTAACTGATCTGTTTACTCTTTTCCCACTTAATTGAAGCTCGGAAAGCTGGGGGAATTTATCAGAGCATTTGCTCGTCGTTAGTTAAACGCTAATGCCAGGCATGATCAATCATCACATCAGACAAAGATTTAATCATCGGAAATCAGCACGTAATGATAAGCGGCGAGTAATTATAATGTACCCCCCTATATGTGAGACACCGGTCCATCATATATGAAAAGTGAGCTACTTGTTGAGTTTACACTAAAGAACCATAGAGCCAGTAAAAGTACAGAGTACCTAGTCACATGTTATTCCGTGTTCAAACAAGAAACATGGATGGACTATCCATAAGAAGTAACGTGATACCGTTCAGAGCAAAAGCATTTTTTGAGAACAGGTGGTGACTCATATGTTCCTTAAATACACAAGTATATGCTGACATAAGCCTCTTATAGAAGTGTCATGAAAATACAACACAAACGAACAAGCGATGGTTGGAAGCGAACAATGCGATTGTAAATAGACGTTACACGACATACATCATGAGAACCTTACCATTTCATAATCGTATCCTGATGAGTCCTTGACAATAATTCCGGGAAGTATATTGGATTCAAAAACCCCATTCTCATCCACGACAATTGGCTTGACTTTCTTTTTCTTCTTTTTGTCTGAGAAACGAAGTTCGTCTGCTAGCTTGTCAGAAAGTTCCTTAAGTCCGCTGTCTGCAGTGAAACTCGTCATTTGACCTCCAGACTCCTACATACCTTGTAAATCGATTCAGATGAAAACGAGAAGTTACAAGTTCCTTTACCCCCGTCTCCTCTAAACTCAAAAGCTTATCCTTTTTCTTCTTCTTCGTACCGAAATCTAAGATATCCTGGGCCTCTGTACTTTCCACCTCATCGTTATATTCATTTAAGGAAGCCCGAGTTTTCTTTTTTTTCCTGCTTTCGAAATCAAGAATATCATCCTAAAGAGATATAGACCCCAATAACTACAAGAATGTCAACCAACAGTCATCACAATACAAACTAGGAGTCACGCACAACTAACTGGTTCAAAAGGTTATGCTCGACGTTCAATACCTGAGAACTGTTGAACTGAGCAAAAGTAAAATATCAAACAACATGAAAGTAAATCGTGAGAGTAGAGGAAACTTGAAGCTTCTGAGATTTCAGTTCTAAACTCTTAGACTCGGTTCTTTGTGTTCGGTAAAACACCTTCCGTCGTCGCAGAATTCTTAAGAGTTTAGGGCACCATTTATAGCGAACTGACAGCTTACTTGTAAATAGCTCATATCTCACTGTTTCAGACACTCCTGTCCTTGAAATCCTGTAGGCTAACTGATTTCCTCCTAAGTTAAGGCAGGATTCTCTCTCTTACGGGCACGCCGTAAAACATTACTACCCGGGTACTAATAGTACTCGGCTGCAAACTTAGAATGGTGAAGAGCGTGACGCCACAAAAACGTTTGGCTACAACTTTTAAGAAAACGCAGACTAATCATCTGTTGTCCCAACCACTGGTCAAGAGGTTCCACGCATCCATCAACTTTCTGGCATACAACGCTTCGATTCTGAAGCCATGTAAATACTCTATTGGTTGTGTTCAAATCCACCATGTGGAAAACAGGCAGTAGAAGACAATCACCGTGGACAGCTGACCTACAGATGTAGCTTATGTGAGAACAGTGAATCCTAATGTGGAACCATTCTGTTCTCTTTTCTTGTCATACGTGCTCTCGGCAGGAAAGTATGCCTTACATGTACATGAGAGATGACGTAAACCTGATTGATATCATATGCGAGAGTAAACTGCGAGAAGACACTAACCGCCAAACGAACAAATGTATTCGTGAAGATTCTAATTCATTATCTTTACATCGTCCGAAACATTAAGGTAAACTTCCCGCCTTAGGCATCTGCATATTTGTAATTTACTTTTGTTGCCAGCTCAAGCGCTTTCCATTTTATTGTACAAAGTTCTGTGCGCTGTGTTCATCCTTTCATATTTCACCCTTTGTTAATTTAATGAAATTATCTTGCCTATGACATTTCATGTGGTCCTTCTTGTATTGGCGTTCACTGCCCAATATAATTGCTATTGTTATTTGGCACCAGCGTTTATTTGCTACATATTTTCTCAGATAACCGCATGGGTTCTATCAAACTTGAGACCGCCTAGCACGTTTTGCCACCGATCAGTTTATACCTACATATAACACCTGTTTAGTTATGCTCTTGATTCATATTCCGGAAGTTCACGTGCCGTAGTGTCACGCACTTCCCAAAATCAGTAGCCTAGGGTTTGACGACATTCAACGTTGATTCTGACCTTGATAATTTAACTGGCCTTGCCTAGCTGAAGGCACCCGGTCAAGCATCCTCGCCATTTGGCACGCTGCCGTGTTACGTCGCACTGCTCGTATTCAACTCTCTAACCAGTTAGTTGGAACGCATCGGTATCCTGGCATAACCACACGAATATACTATTCCATCCGACTACGCTATGGTGTTCTTCCTTGGTCTCGTATTCGTGGGTATATAACAAGTCCGAATAATTAGTGACTGGTCTTTGCGTCTGTCAAGTTCGCACCAGGACAAATCCTAAAGCGCTATATGGACATTTAGGTATCCTGAGGAAACAATAAAGAAAGCAGCTAGTCTCGTGTAGACAATCGAGCTGAATTTTTTGCACTTTTAATATGGTTCTTTCAACGCAATAATCTTAACTGCTGGTAAAACTATTCAGCCTTCCTAAATTTCACCATTTATAGTTGACCATAGACTTGAGTTGAGCTGGGATAATATCACCTAATAATTGCGTAAAAAGCGAACAAGCATGTATCGTGTCAAACTCGTTATTTCAGCATGAAAACAATACAAAAGATTATTCCGATGTTGCGTTATATCCATCTAACGCTAGAACAAGCAAAACCGATGAACGATAGGAGCAACTACTTAAGATTTCGAAGCGAAATCTCAAAACCTGTAAGTTCCCTTTACCTGCACTGTTGATTTTGTGATTTGGATGTTGGAATTACATGCGATTACCTGTACAAGTGACGCGCGCTTCTTAAAGTGCACGTAACCTGTGAAAGCAGAGTAACATTTGAGACATTGCTCGCTTTCCTTCCATTTGTTTTTTCCAACTCATGTTTCTGGTTGTTCGTTATTGAGCTGTGTCGACTCATTTATTTACAAATGCTAGTTGATTTCCCTGAATAATGCTACGTTGGATAACATTTATGTATGATCTTCCCCTTTTATATTTTCAACACCCCGTGAAACGTACCTTGTGGGTTAAGAAAAGCCTACTGACAGGCGTTCCTCGCTAAAGTACTGGCTTTTGTTAACATCCTACTACAAGTAGCACAAGGTCGAATGCAGAGGTAACGACAAAACATATTAACGTACGGAACTTTGAGGCAGGCAGTATATCACCCTAATAAAGTAGATTTGGCTAGTTGCCAAACCCACAGGGGTGTACGTGGTTGCTGATTACAGTTCCATTGGCGATATTTCTAGACTGTTATTCCGTCGCTATGGCTACCGATCTTCTGCAGGTAGTACGAACTATGATTACACAAGCTGATACGATATAAATCGCTTACATCTTGGATGAGGAAACTTCACAACAGGCCACATAATGCTATTTTCATCTTACATGCGAATAAGCGAGATGGACTGTTTGTACGCACTAATTGTGACTAGCCGAATAATATCAGCTGCAACGACCCAGGAGATTAAATACTAGGTCCTGTAGAAACCGTAGAAAACTAATTTGTAGTGCACTTCATATGAAATTATTTTCTCGCCATCTGGTCTGCAGAACCAAATCATGGCAGTTACAACTTTACAGAGAGGGTTGTAGAAACCTGAACAGGACGATCTGGAAACAGAGATCCCACACCGGTGAGTAAAGATAGCTGTAAGCCATTCATGAGTACGATGTGGTGATGAAAACAGCATTTAAGAAAGTGACATGGCTATTGGCAACAGGAAGGCTGGGAGAGACTTGATATCGCCTTGTGGACCTCTGATACCCCAACTGGCACTTCCAGAGCCGTGTTTGAACAGTCGCGGGGTAACTGAAACGATTTCACAGAAAAAATGAAAGTCCACAGCAGAGTACCGGAGTATCGATGTAGGCGTCAAAATCGATGGTCACATCACCCAAGACGCACTCGAATACGAGTGAGGTGTTACTCCTAGAGGAAGAATTTGATAGATTTCCATAGCAGGGTCATATTCTTAGATGGTGATGCCTTAGCTAGTATCGCTGTCGCTTACGAAATAGCTCTAGACACCGACTCTCTACAAAACAAAGAAACCAGGCTCACTGGAGTCATTCTAGCCAACACTACTGGCTGTGAAACTGGTCCTTATAGCTAGCGGTCTGCCTGAGAAGTGTCCACGAGCATACTTTGACATCCCATTTGAAGAAAGATGGTGCAGTCATTGGTTAAGAACTGTTACCTTATGCAACCTGAAAACAGTCGATGAAAGGCATAACACAATTTTACACAGCATTCCGAATGGAGATCCCAAAAGACCGAAATGCTACAATGACAGTGTTTGTCCATTACAAGTAAGAAGTGCTCCATCATGGGGCCAAAGCCACTACCACATAACAAGGCTGGAGAGCTCTGTGATAGTTTGTTCGACGGTCAACCCCTTCTTTTTAGAAGAGGCAACGGGCGTCTTTGAGGGTTTTCGGAATAAAAACAGATACTAACTCGTAGGCTTTATCATGTAAACTGATCGGTCTCAATTGATCTATGATTAGCAAGAATTTGACGTAGTAGTTGCTGACAGTGGATGATGTCAAGGTTATATCAAACTTCTAATGGACTCCGTGCACGTAGACTTCAGTTAGGCTTTTGACAAAGTGTTGCCTGCAAAATCATTAGGAGGGCTCAGTTGCGTGGACGGATTACTGACCTCGCATAAGATAAACAGCAAAGAGTAAAAGTTACTCGGACACTTAGTGGAGATTTGCGAGAAGTGAAGTTTAAACAAATCATCCTGCTTCCCATCCTTTTCCTGATGTATGATAAAAACTACTGAAAGTTCCCAAATCTTTGGTGCTCCTGCTTATCGATAATTTGAAAGTCTGAAGAGTCATATGGAATGACATTGAAAGGTATCTACGTCAACCGGACTTAGATTATCTGGTGGATTGGTCCGAAGGTTGATACCTGGAAATTAACTCAAACTGAAATGCAGTGATCAACGTTGGTCATAGTAATTGACCCTGATGTTCCATTGCCGGCACACGACTGCCCTCGATTGTCTCTGTTATGTCCTATTAAGTTTATAGCTTCTAAAAAGCATTGTAGCAACATGGTACGTTTTTATCACACAAACGTTTAAAGCTCCCGTGAAGTAGTATGGTGGCTAACTCCTATTGCGTGGCCAAATTACGCTCTGGTTATCTCTTTGTAACACCATGTTTATGAGTGTCGGTTATGTCACTCGACATGATTTCAATCTTCTGGTGTCTGATTCGTGTTACAGCTTCTAGTTAGCTGAAGTATCACTCAAATCAGTTCTCAATGGGATAAAACATCCCATTCATCTATCTCTTGTGTCGTGCTCCAACCAAAGATCCCTTTGTATAGCATTCATATTGATTTCGCCATTCCTATCAGATAGACAAGCAGACAGAGAAAATCAACGTAGAAAATTGCAAAGGAGTGCATCAGTTCAAGTTGTTACACTCAACAGTAGCATGCCGCGAAGATGGTGGAAAAAGTGATTCCAAAGTATACAGTGGTGTACGGGGTGAATAGGTATCTGAAAATCAAAGTTGATGAAAATGTTGAAGGATTGGAAGACACAAAAGGTTGAGTAGACCTGAACCATTTAAATCTACTCCCGGCCTTGTCTTCAACCACTGGTTCCTGTCGTCTCGTGAACCCTAGTCAGACAGTTAACACCTAAGTACATGGGTCAGACTAGCGGTCGGAGACTTCATGAACTGGTGCCACTTCTTGGTCTGGTCATCTTGAGCCTTCCTCCAACCCGATGCAACTTCTGCTGGCGTTACATTCGAGGTGAGCGACGGTTTGCACTTGTGATGCGCATACTGAGGTACCTAACGTTATGTCCATTAGTGTGCTGTTTTTAGAATTGAGTTATAAGTTAATTAATCCCCTTTCAGGATTCACTAAAATTAGTACTCAAGACATGCAGAGAGAATAAGGATTGTAACTGCAATATGTATACTTCACACAATCCCCAAATCATGTCACACAACATTGAACATCTATATCAACCCTAACATAGTCACAGTAACATAGACTCATTTTTAGTTGGTAGATGGCCAGTAGAGTTATAGTGTTGGATTAGGACAGCAAACATCTATGAGATTATCGTTAAGCTTGTAGGCATTTTTCACGACTCTCTCAGACAACTTATGTGTGCTGTGCATCTCGCGTGTCTGAACGGATTCGTTCAGGTTTTTTAATTGACCGTTGAAGTCGCGCGCTAATATGACTGCATATAAACCTTTTGTCTTCTGTGGAAAAGTCGACAGTTTTGATAAAGTTCATCCCTTTTACCACCCGAAGTGCAGTTGGTGGATGCATAGGCGGAGACAGAACAGGTATTGGTTACCCTCACCACCCTTACTAGCGCTTGCAAATCCATTCAGTAAGACTCTGCGCATAAGGCTGTTGACTTGCACGCAGTCAAGAAGTATACTTTCTGCGTGCAGACTTAGTACTGTGTCTTCACCAGGTAGTCCACGGCAGGTAGCTTTTTAATCCCCATACACTCGCAAAGTGAGTTTTGTAAATTCACGAAGTTGAACAGGTAAAATCAGAGAATTACCGCACTCACGTGCTGTATATATGTGTGAGAAACAGCATACATCCATACCTCCTGATCCCAGAGTTTCAGCAAGAGACACCTGTTGCTTGATTGGGCATAGGATTGGGACATTGAACGCTGCAATGTAAAGTCGACAGTAGGAGTTTTAGAGACCAGTATTGGTGTTTTGCTGGCTCTGATGGTCGATAATGGTCTCAGAGTGAAGGGCTGAGAAAGACGTTAAAGGTGTAATATTGGTACCGGGAAGTGAAGGCAAGGAAGGAGATAAGGCTGTTTGTTTGGGTTTGACATGTTACTGGAAGCGTGCAGGTGTTTGGTACTTCCCGGCTGCCCACATTGTGACAGTCATTTCTTCATGGTCCATGGATGGGATAAGACATTTGTTTTGCGTGACTGCTGAACCAATGGGTCGTCCGTCTGAGGCTTGGTTTGCAGTTTGATTGTTCCAACTCCGGATAAGAAAATACTTACCGTAATACCGCAGGGGATGGAGGAGTGCGTTATTTTTGGCGCTCAACCTTTTCTAACCGCACTTCAATAGGGATTGCAGCATGAGCATGGCACTGGTGATAATCCAATGGAAACACTTTACTCTTGTCGCATCCCTGCTCTCAAATCCCCATCATAACGTAGCAATTCGCACTATAACCGCAACTGCCTTTTGCCTTACTACCTAACGGACGTTTCTGACATAGTAGGGCGTGAAGAAACAAGCGTTGCAGCCATTGTAGCTATAAGGGTCGTTGTGATTTGTTAACCCAACCACCAACCACATCAAGTTTGCTGCTAGCGATAAAGAAAGCAATCTCATCAGGAAAGAATTAGCTTGACAGTCCATCCAAAGGATGTAAAACACAGTTAACTGACTAGTTACAGCTTCTTATGATCGTCTTTATCCAATATATTTGCGTTTGAAACGTATATGGAGCATTTTGCTTTTTGTTGCTATTCGTTATCTTCAACCTACGAAACTAAATAGATAATCGCAATGTCAAATTTTGCGTACATTTATCGGTGCAAGTTGGAGGTTGTTAACGTATCTTCTGTAACGCAGTTGACACTACATACAATTGATTCCCAGTCTCCATTTCCATACCGCATTGTCAGCAGGATCTGGTTAAGCATTATTAACTTTTATCAATCTCTTTTAATTA